AATTTTTGGAGCTTTTTCTAATGTCGGGAGGGGATTGGTTAATAAAATGCATATTGAGAATAAGACGGCCTTCTGGCCCCTCTGGGTCTAGGGCGGTAAAGCGTCTAAGAGTTGTTGCCAAACGGGCCATGAACTGGGCTGGGTTTTTATATTTGATGAAAAAGAGCCAAAATGCTAACTGCTTTGAGAGAGGTCAGATGAAGAAAAAGGAGCATTAACCTTGACTATACCTTCAGCTCCAGCCACCTCTTTAGGAGGAAATTGTTGGGCAGGTGGGGGAGGGCTAGTTATGGAACAAAACTGTAAGCAGGACTGGGTATGAGGAGAGGAGGTGATAAAAAGATTATAGGGCTGGGGAGCAGAGGCTGAGGAAGACTTGGGACCTGGCTCGGCCTGGCAAGGAGCAGCCTGGGGAGGACGGTAGAGGTCAGATGAGTCCATAGAAAAGGAAGATTCAAAGGACTCAGAGCTTGGGGTGGAGACTGAAGGACCAGACAGGAGAGAAAGAAGAAAGATTTGGGACGAGTTGCATTGGGAGAAGGGAGGGACCAATGTGTAAAAGAATGCCTAGACGTCAGTCACCTCAGACCATTTGCCCATTTTTCGACAAAAATTATCTAGGTCTTGTAGGATAGACAAATTGAAAGTTCCATTCAGTGGCCACTTGGAACTACTGTCGAGTTTGTACTGGGGCCAAGCGGTATTGCAGAAGAAAATAAGGCATTTAGGTTTTAGGTCGGGTGTGAGTTGAAGAGGTTTTAAGTTTTTGAGAACACGGGCTAAGGGAGAAGAAGGGGGAATGGAGGGTGGAAGGTTGCCCATAGTGAAGGAGGCAAGCCCAGAGAAAAGAGAGCGTAGAGATACAGAGAAGAGGGGTGGTGAGCAGCCAAAGCAGGCGTCCCTGCAATTGACTTGCCACCAAGGACATGTGGGTGAATGACCAAGGCAGGTGTCCCCGTGGTGGTCAGACACCAATGAAATGTGGGTGAATAATCAGGCAGGCATCCCTGCAGTGATTAAACACCAAGGGAAGACTATCTTCCCGAGTCCATGACCAGCACCGGAGTTTTGGGTCCACAGATAAAATGTTTTTGTCTCTACTAGAGAGGAAAAAGAACTGGAATTGGAAGGACAGGGAGAATGAAGGGTAGTGAGAGAAGAAGACTGAAGGGTAGCGAGAGAGGAAGATTGAAGGGTAGGGAGAGAGGCTGGAGAAGAGTGAAAAGACCGCTTACCCGATTTGAAATTGGTGAGATGTTCCTTGGGCTGGTTGGTCTGAGGACCCGAGGTCATAGGTGGATCTCCTCATGGAGTGAGGGCAAGGACAGGGGACTGGTCTCCTGAAGGAGTCCTCCTGTCCCAGGTCTTAGGCACCAAATGTCGTGTGCGTCCCTGTGAAGAGACCACCAGACAGGCTTTGTGTGAGCAACAAGGCTGTTTATTTCACCTAGGTGCTGGCGGGCTGAGTCCGAAAAGAGAGTCAGCAAAGGGTGGTGGGATTATCATTAGTTCTTATAGGTTTGGCATAGGCGTACAAAATACTTTCTGAAGTTGAGGGGAGACTATTACAAAGTACCTTCTTAAGGGCAGGGGGAGAATATATCATATCAGTTAGGTGGGACAGGAACAAATCACAATGGTGGAATGTCATCAGTTAAGGCTATTTTCACTTCTTTTGTGGATCTTCAGTTGCTTCAGGCCATCTGGATGTATACGTGCATGTCACAGGGGATATGATGGCTTAGCTTGGGCTCCGAGGCTGACAACTCCTATGTTCCTGGAATTGTGTAAAGGTCTTTACAAACAGCATGAATCACTGAGTTCATGCAAGAACTCTGTGAAGAAGGATGCTATTATTCTTCTCATTTTATAGATACAGAAATTATTAAACCGAGACCCTGAGTTCAGTAATTCACATCTAGAAGGGAACAGAACTCAAATTAGTATTTAAGACTGTTGGACGTCCGTACTATTTACTGTTTTCATTTGGACGAGCTGCTCTGTGTCATTTGGCTAGCAGAGGGGACAGGGTCTTACTCTGTCACCAGGCTGTTGTCAAACTCCCAGCCTCAGTGATCCTTCCACCTCGCTCTCCCAAAGTATATGCTCTGAGTATATGCTCAGAATATATTCAAATGTGGAAGAAGGTGTAGGCAATCTAGTTTTGTATAAAGGGCCAAAATAAGGTATTAATTTTAAAATAATGGAACATATATCAAATTCAGTGATTCTCAACTGGGAGCAAATCCTCCTACCTCCGGGGGGCCTTTGGAAATGTGTAGGTTCATTTGGGGTCCTTTTGGCCATTACACTGGCCTGTTACACTGGGGCGCTTTCAGGAGGCTCCATGACCTGCAGTCTGCAAAACAATTTTAGAAAAAAGGACTCGTCTGGCTCCAAATGTCAGATACTACCAAGAAACACTGATCAAGGGCAATGGTAGGAATTTGAAATGATACTGTAAAACTCAAAGGTGGCAAACTCAAATGCCTTTAGGGATTAGTCAACAAGTGAAGAAATCACGTCCCATTTTAGGGACATACAAATTCAAATCACTAAAGCACTTCATCAGACAAAAATTAGGTGTCAAATGTGGCCTGTGGATAGCCAGGTTGGAGCCTTTTAATGGGGGTTTTTCTGACCAAAAAACATGTTTACAATATATTAAAAGAAAAAAACCCTAACAATCTGTATGATTCCATGTTTTAAAGACATTGTCTCTGTGTACACACATATTTGCATATATACTTGCACTTACATTCATGAAAATATTTAGACAATTTTCTGGAAGGATATGGAATAAGATTTGGGGTAATTTCAGCTTGGCGCGGTGGCTCACGCCTGTAATCCCAACACTTAGGGAGGCCGAGGCGGGTGGATCACCTGAGGTCGGGAGTTCGACCAGCCTGACCAACATGGAGAAACCGTGTCTCTACTAAAAATACATGCCTGTAATCCCAGTTACTTGGGAGGCTGAGGCAGGAGAATCACTTGAACCTGGGAGGCAGAGGTTGCAGTGAGCGGAGATCGTGTCATTGCACTCCAGCCTGGGCAACAATGTGAAACTCCATCTCAAAAAAAAAAAGATTTGGGGTAATTTTTTTTTTATATATATACCAGATCTCACTCTGTCACCCAGACTGGAGTGCAGTGGCATGATCATGGCTCACTGCAGCCTCGACCTGGACTCGGGTGATCCTCCCACCTCAGCCTCCTGGGTGGCTGAGACTGTAGGCACGTGCCAGGCACACCTAGCTGATTTTTTTGTATATTTTGTAGAGATGGGGTCTTGCTATGTTACCCAGGCTGGTCTTGACCTCCTGGACTCAAAAAATCCACCTGCATCGGCCTCCTGAAGTGCTGGGGTTATAGGTATGAGCCACTGTGTCTGGCTCAATTTGGGGCAATTTTCTAAAACGCGTTGCTCATTCATATTTTTAATTCTTTGACGACAAACGTCTACTAGTTGCATAATTTTAAATAAATAAAGTAGAAGAGGAGCCTTAAAAAATAAAAACTTTGAGTGTAATATTGGAAGACAGCCCGGGCAACCTACTGGCCGACCCCGTCAAGGGGAGAATCGTATCTGTGATTAAGGACAAATGAGACATTCAGTATTAGACAATCAACACTAAAGCACCTGAATTCCTTTAAAAGTGGAACATTGTTGCTTTCTCAAACACACTGGCCTAGCTTCTAGCCCCCTTCCACAATTTTCATTTCTTTCATGATACAATAAAGCTCTTCCGGTAAAGCCCAGTCTTCCTTGCGCAGCTGCCCTGGCAGGGGTCTTGAGGAACCCCAGATGAGGCTTGAGAAATCAGGATCTGTACTGAAATTTATCTTAGTGGGGGCTTATCCAAAATTAGACAAGAGCAGGACATTTTCAGTACAGCTCTCCCCTTTTTTCAATCAAGCCACCAAATCCTTCAAGATCATTGTTTTTTCTGAAAAATCTCTGTCTTGCTTTATTGCAATCATGTTTGTGTTTTCTTTCCAGTGTGTTGGCTCTACACTTTTTAGTTTGTGCACAAGTCCCCCTTTTTTTTTTTTTTTTTTTTTTGAGACAGGGTCTTGCTCTGTCACCCAGGCTGGAATGCAGCAGCACCATCTCAGCTCACTGAAGTCTCAACCTCCTTGGCTCAAGCGATCCTCCCACCTCAGCCTCCTCAGTAGCTGGGACCACAGGCACATGCCACATGCCCGGCTAATTTTTATATTTTTAGTAGACATGAGGTTTCGCCATGTTACCCGGGCTGGTCATGAACTCCTAGGCTCAAGTGACCTGCCCACCTCAGCCTCCAAAAGTGCTGGGATTACAGGGGCAAGCCATCCTACCTGGCCCAAGTCAACTTTGACTGAACTTTCTTTGTGGAGTTTGCTGATCATTGGGCAATAACGGATTTTCTATCCATTTGTCTAAGGACTCCGAGGAGGTGAGAGGCACATAATTTCCTGGAGTCTTTTCTCGTTCGCTGTCTGGGTCAGTCCCCAGGGTCCCTGCCTCCTGCCTCCCTGTGGCCCTCCTTACCAGCAACTAGTCACAGCTCTCCTACAGAAAGAACCCAGAAGCCCTGCTGGTAACAAGGTGACCTGTGGTGCTTCTTGGCACTGGGTGCAGGGACAAATGGAGAGAGAGCTCCAGCACAAACAGGAAGGGGAGTTCTCCCATCTAGAACATTGCTGCTTTTCACTCCCCACCTACCCCTTTCACATGCTGAATCTATATCAAATAAGGAACTCATATCTGGATTCTGAATCCACCTTTATAAACCAAACTAGACAGAAATCTTTGGGAGTGAAAATGTTAAGTGCACTTTACTCATTAAATTTCCTTAGGAGAAGTGTCTAGAATGTATCATGTAGGAAAGTGGAGACTGAAGCAAGTATGATGAATAAACTGGGCATGTGTCACAATTGATCTTCAAGTAGCTGAGTTTGCCCAAGGGAAATTTGTATAAAGAGCCGTGGAGTCCTGACCAGCTCCTTACCTCTTGCAGATCTCCAGCACCCTGCCAGTGGCACTACTGAGAGACGAGGTGCCAGGGTGGTTCCCGAAAGTGCCTGAGCCCCAACTTATGAGCAAGGAGCTCATCATGCTGACAGAGTGAGTAGGCCCAAGAAGAGCAGAAGCACGGTTCCCACCAAGCTAACTGGTGTAGCTGGCTTCCAAGCACACACACCACCCTTCCTGGCTGCCCCAGCCTTATTGTCCAGAGAGGCAAAGGGACCTACCCTGGGACACGCAGCAATGCCAGATGTCTGCCTCTAGCCGGGACAGGGATAGATTTGCAATTGTATTCACATCCCTGCAATCTCTGACTTTGCCCCTTTTTCTTTCCCTACAGGGTCATGAAGGTCTGGCATGGCTTAGTGATTGCAGTGGTGTCCCTCTTGCTGCAGGCCTGCCTCCTCATCGTCATCAACTACCTGCTCAGCAGGCAAATCGGTAACTGGCTCAGCATCCTCTTCCCTCCTAGTCACTCTCAGAGACCATTCTTGAGCCTCCAGCAGCACAAGACCCCTTTGGAGTTCCCAAATGTCACTCAAAAACCTACCAGAGGACCCAACAGCCAAATCCTTCCCCCTCCACACCTCCCACCCTACCCCATAACTGTAATTGGGTAATCCCCACTCTGACCTCACCTTTTAACCAACTATTTCTGGCTGGAAGTGACCATCCATATCCTTCCACTACCCAGACCTTCTGCCTAGACACAGCTTTTGCAATGCCTGTGAGGAAGTGCTCGTGTAACCTGGGTCTAATTAATTTTCTTCATCACTGCCAAAGGACTGAACATGAAGAAATGGCCTTGAATTACAACAGAAGGAAATATGGCTAGACTTAGAGATTAAATTCTTGAACTGATATACAATAGAAGGTAGTGAAGCTCAGTCCTCGAAAGGCATTTCAATTAGGGAAAATAAGGCAAGATGCTGCTGCTTTGGTTGTGCTAAGAGAAAGGACCAGGCAAGATGATGTTTTGAGGGTCTCTCTAGTTAAGTTGAGCTTCATTCATCCATTTGTTCATTCATTCATTCAACAGATATTTCTTGAGGATCTAAGACACTCTCTGGGCCTAGGCTATACAACAGGGAACAAAACAAAAATTCCTACCCTCGAAATCTTTCATTCCATGTGACAACAAACAAGATAAACAAGTAAAACATGTATTTGCTAGATTATGGTAAGTGCCAGGGAGGAAAAATGGAGCAAGGGAGTAGATACAGCTTGGTGGATGGTTGGCATCCCCGAGAGGCTAACCTTTGAGTGTAAACTTGCAGGGAGTGAGGAGTGAGCTCTACCTGCAAAGGCCTGAAGGAGGAACATGTTAGGCACACAGTAGCAAGAGCAAAGAGGCCGGGCAGCTGGAGCAGGCAGAGAGAAGCAGGAGAAAGCCAGAGGGGAGGGAGGAGTGAGCCCTCCAAGGCTGGGACTTGGCTTTTTCCAAGTGAGGTGCAGAACCACGGCAGGGTTTTGACCACAGCAGTGCTGAGGTTTGAAGGGATCTTTCTGAAAGGTTTGCTTTATTGAGGGCAGTGTTCAGAAGGCACTGATTCAAGAGCCGATGTGCCCAACCCAGGCAGCTTCCACTTTTTTTTTTTTTTTTTGAGATGGAGTCTCACTCTGTCCCCCAGGCTTGAGTGCAATGGCACAATCTTGGCTCACTGCAACCTCTGCCTCCCGGGTTCAAGTGATTCTCTTGCCTCAGCCTCCCTAGTAGCTGGTATTACAGGCACATATCACCATGCCCAGCTAATTTTGTATTTTTAGTAGAGACGGGGTTTCCATGTTGACCAGGCTGGTCTTAAACTTCTGACCTCAAGTAATCTATCCACCTCAGCCTCCCAAATTGCTGGGATTACAGGCATGAGCTATTGCGCCCGGCCACCTTCCACTTTTGATCCCTCCCTTCTCCCTTCTAGTCCACCAGAGTGAACAGATACTGAAAGCGGCCAGGCTCCAGGTCCCCAGGCCCAGCCCTGACCACCATCATCCACCTGCTGCCAAAGAGATGAAGGAGACTCAGACAGAAAGAGACGTTCCAATGTCTGATCCCCTTTACAGGAGTGAGTAAGGGGTTGAGGGGAGAACTTGTCTCGGCGCTTACTTTGCTCTGTCTGGACACCCAGGACCTCCCTGCAGCAACCCCGTGGGCCCAAACCTCTAGGCTGAGGATTCTTCACACCCACATCAGGACAGCCTTGCCAGCCTACTTTTTTCAGAAAGCTGTTTTATGCTACTTCGTGGGGGAGTTCCTGCTGTGTTTGTGTGGGTCTAAGTTCTTTTCCGGGTTTAATCGTGTGCAAATGATTGCAGGGGGCTTGGGAAATGTCCCTGCTCTTCTCTTTGTAAAGCTGTGGCATCTTTTCTTCGGAATGATCAGCTAATAGTGGAGTTAGAATTGCGCAGCTGCCCTGGCAGGGGTCTTGAGGAACCCCAGATGAGGCTTGAGAAATCAGGATCTGTACTGAAATTTATCTTAGTGGGGGGCTTATC